GCTAGCATATATGCCTTTCCAATATAAATGCTGAATGAAGTCACAAAATGATACACAGATAAAGCATTATCTAATTTTAAAAGTGCATGTTGGGGCTGGGGAGATGGTACTGTATGTGTAATGTTCACTACACAAGTGTGGGTCTCTGTGTTTGGGCCTCCAGCACTCATGAGAAAGCCAGGTGTGGTGGTGTGTTTCTGTAATCCCTGTGCTGGGAGGTAGAGACGGGAGGATGCCATGGCTCACTGGTCAGCCAGGTTAGCCAAAATGTCGAGCTCTGGGTTCACTAAGAGACTGTCAAGAAAGAAGGAAGAGAAGTAGTTAAGAAAGGCATTCTAACATGAACCTTTGACCCTACACCTGTCTGCACTGGCAGGTGTACTCATACATGAATCAGCACAAATGCAGACACCACACACAAAGAAAAGAGAGTTATTAAAATGTTAACAGTCTTGCGGGGTAGTGATGCATGCCTTTAATACCAGCACTTGGGATACAGAGGCACGGGATCTGTGTGAGCTCAATGTTGGTCTGGTCTACAAAGAAAGTTCCAGGACAGCCAGAGCTGTTACACAAGGAAACCCTGTCTTTGAAAATCAAAGAAGATGAAGAGGAGGAGGAGCAGAAGGAAATATTAATGATCTCTATATAGCAAAAATCACACAAACACTGATGGAAAGTGACAAACCTCATGCCAGACAGGGTCAAATCTGGGGGATAAGTACAGGGAAGAATACAGAGGAGCGACACTGACTAGTTTTTCGCAGAAATGTTTTACATTAAAAAAAAATTAAGTTAATGTGACCAAGTCCATACTTGTTCACTATGATAAACAACCATATCTGTTAGGTAATTTTTTTAACTGTCCTAAATATTTTAGAAATTTGAAGGCTCTTTGAAAACAGATTGCTCCAAAGCTTTAGCACCTTGATGTTTTTATTGTAAAGGAACAGTGTCTTCCCAGAACACTTCCATCACCCTTAGTGGGAGCGAACCTTCCTGCGGTAGGAAAAGGTGGAGGCAGACAAGAGTGGGCAGGGGAGGTGCACAGGCAAGCATCCTAGGCTACCGGACAGGGCATCATCTCTGTGTGACCTAACGGAATGTCTGATGAGTATATAATAAATAGTCTCCTCTCCCTGAATGAGTGTCTTATTTTCTGAGATAAATAATATATATTTTTAGGGAAAATAGGGTATCTAGAGACTTTTGAACAACTAAGTGGCATTTTTAGTCCTGAGGAAATTCATGAATATTTTTTATCTTCCTTTTTCTTCCTCCCCTTCTTCTTTTCTTGCCTGTTCCACCTTCATTTTGCTCACTTCACATATGGCATTTCGAAAAAGGTACCATGGATCTTGAAAACATTTTGCAATGTCTGTGATAGTCATAATTCCAAGACCAATAGGTCTTTTCTTCCTGTGTTTTCTGTCATAATACATAAACAAGATAAAAATAGCACTACTCTGACTTCTGTCTCTCTGATCAAGAATTTATAATACTAAATGACTTGTCTAACTCTGGAACAAAATTTGAATTAAAATGTATGCTTGCCATGATTGCAGTTTATATAACAACACCAAAAGTATTGCAAGCATCTACTAGACTTCGAAGGGTGGGCTTGAGGTTGGTAAAATAATTCCCTCACTCTACCTGGACAAGGGTGACTCTGTGTGTTCCCTCCTTGTCTAGAATTTCAGTTTCATTCAGGCATGGAAAATTCCTACAAATTTTTGCAAATTATCTAACAGAGACAACAGAAACATTGCATAATTATATGTGAATTAATCATATGGAAAAACTGATGTTCAAATGTTGTTGGGGAAACACCATGAAGGGGATATGATTTTGACTGCACATTGCAGGATTGTCAGGCTTTCCAAATAGCTTATAAATCCAGGGATTTTACCTGGCAGTAGGATATTCCCTGCAAGCAAGATTCTGGAGCAAGTGGTAAATATAAAAAGAAAAGACTGAGTGATCATATACCCAATAGCTTTTCAATCTTTACCCTAAACAACATCAATAAAAATCACTTGGTTACTTTGAAAATTCTGGTCTTGTTTCAGTATATTCAGGAACAGGCAAACATCCTACAATTTCTTGCAAGTTCCCAGGTGATCCATGATTCAATGATCCAACAATCCATTATCCAACATTGCTGGTCCATGGATTATATGGGATATAAGCAGAGAAAGACGATGAGTAAATACAAAAACTCAGGAATAAGGACACAAGCAGGAAAGTCAGAAGAGGAGGGAATGGTTTGCAATTAGACATTGACGTAAATGCTAACTTAGCAGGTGAGCAGGGCATGGGGAGAAGCTATGTAAAGGGAGAAAGCAGGTGGCATTCTCTAAGGGATAAATTCTCTTTGTTTCTGGAGAACTATGTCACAACACGATACTAATGTTACCCAGTCTCTCATTTTTTAAAAACATAAATTCATTGTATTTTAACATAGAATCTACTGATTTATAACTCTTGAGTCTAACTTTTACATATACACAAATTTTCACATACATAAATAGTCAAGTATTGTGAGTCTAACAATCTGAATTTGCCTGTTAGAATTTCAACTATTTCAGATCTTTAAATAAGGTAAAGAGTCCTGAATCTGAACAGAAGTGGGTATTAAAAAGCCCCCTGGGAGGCCCTGTGGCTTACTGGGAGACAACCTGGGAAACAGAAATGCTGTGAGTTAAGAGTCTGATGCAAAGTGAGAGGCAGAGATCAGAGCCATGCATCACGAGGGTCTCAAAAGGAGACTGTCCGTTTTGAGACAGTCTTTCTGTGTAGACCAGACAAGTTTCAGTCTCGGGTAGTCTTCCTTAGTTTCCCAAAAACTGGGACTAAGGGTCTGTGCAACCATGTCTGGCTCAACAAGCGTCTTTGCAGATAAAGAATTAATGTCAAGCTGGGCGGTGGTGGCGCACGCCTTTAATCCCAGCACTCGGGAGGCAGAGGCAGGCGGATCTCTGTGAGTTCGAGACCAGCCTGGTCTACAGAGCTAGTTCCAGGACAGGCTCCAAAGCCACAGAGAAACCCTGTCTCGAAAAACTAAAAAAAAAAAAAAAAAAAAAAAAAAAAAGAATTAATGTCAAGAAGTATGGGGATAAGTCTGGTTGTAGAGGAAAGATGATTGAATACAAGTTGAAATTTTTGAATTATTATAAAAAAAAACAACTAAAAGGTGCTTACTTGATGAAGTCACAGTTGCATTAGTTAAAATACGAAAATCTCTCAGGAAATGTAACCATTCAGAAAGTGAAATTTTGCTGGTTGTTCTGTTACCAAAGCTGTCCCATCTGAGCAGATTAGGACTGTTAGGGAAAAATTTCAAGCCCACCGTAGAAGTTAGAGGTGGTGACCAGAACTCACCAGTCTCATTTGGCTTTTTCTTTTATTTTTCTGGTGTAGAGTGCTATATGTAGTTGCTGTAGAGTGTTTTCGGGGTGTATGGGCCTTTAATCTTAGCTTTATGAAAGAGAATGAGGAAATCAAGCTGCCTTCTTAGAAGATGGTCTGGTCTTGGAACAAGCTTGTCTCTAATGGACTCGGGTGGAGGCAGAGGGGCAGAACTGAGGCTTAGTGTAAGAACAGTAAACAGCACTAAGAGACTGGTTGGCCATAACTCGGGAGCATATGATAGCCAAGGGGCCCATGCTGTCTTCTTGTAAGTACGGCAGGAAGCATAAGGTTGTAGGGAAAAGTTTTGGGGCCATCTATGGGTTATCGTTAAAACAAAATACACAGTCGTCCCTATACACTGGCATTTTAAACTAAACTAGTGCCTACAGAATCTCTCAAGAGCAGTTTAGAAGGGTTTAGTCAAGGCTCTGCTTTATTTTGCTGTTTTATTGTTTGTCAAGACTACAGGGGCAGACTCTGTGAAAACTGTCAACATCAAAACACCTTTATTCTTTTTCCTTTAAAAAGATAACACAATGAAATGCGGCAGAGTCTGGGCTTATTAAGACTCTCTTAGATTCACTGAAAGAGAAAGGATGCTGGGGAGCCAATGCCCAGCCCAGAGGATTCAGCTTGATGCTGGTGAATCATAGCGAGGGAAGCTGGATATTGTGCAGACCTAAAGAAAAGACCTCATCAAAACCCTAGCACACAGTCTCTCTCAGTAAATTTCCAATGCAACCCAGAGTTCTCAGACAGCAAACAGCACAAGAACAAGAAGCAGCAATACAGTGGATGACAACATTTATTGATTGTTTGGCAAGTTTCAGGTGATTTCATACCAAATTATTCAGGTTACAATGGTTGTAAATTTTACCACTTCCTTTTAGTGCCCTAACAGAAACCTGGTTTCCAGCTAAGCAAAGCAGCAGATTTCATTAAGATTAAGATTCCCTTTGGGCCTCCTTGTGCTCTCCGCAGCAACTCAGCTGCCTTCCTCAAAAAGCCAGTTTTTCCTAAGCACATGAACCTGCACCCCTAGATTCACACGCTTAGAAGCTGCATTCAGGTTCATCTGAGCCACCTGTCTCATCGCTCCAGGAAGTCTTTTCTTCTAGGTTGATTTCCCACTTTTGGTTAGAAAATACGAATGCAGTTTCCATCCAAACACATGCAGCTAAAAGAGAAAAGTAATTCAATTAACGGAAAGGTATATCATGAAGAAATGTCTCCAGCCTGCCTAGTTCTGCTTTCCAACAACACTCCAAGTACATTTGAGATGCCAAATGAGAGCAAAGACAGACATCCATGTGCACTAATTAACTTGAGCAAAGAAAATTGATTCTAAGATATTCTGTTCAGAGGGAAATATGAAAAAAAATGGAAAATTTTCCAGGTTTCCAGTTTTCATGTTTATTAACTTCTTCTCCAAAGCCCTTAAAAACAACTATGTGGTGGTAACTAAACAACAGAGACATTTCCACAACCTCCCTCTCTCAGTTGCATCCAGCAAATGTTCTATTATTTGAAAGGTGATTTCTGGGGCTCATTTCATTTTTCACCTGATGTCTTGTCTTAATTCTTTGCAGGAAGCAGAATGTGCCTACGTCCTCTTTGTTGTTGCCATCTTTTGGGTCACAGAAGCCTTACCCCTGTCAGTCACAGCTCTACTGCCTGGTTTAATGTTTCCCATGTTTGGGATCATGTCTTCCACACATGTAAGTTCTCCTTCAAATGTCTTCAGAATTTGATTGCTTGTTGTGTGTGGTGACATCGTTTGAGAAACGTTGCCTTTAAAAGGAGCCATGATCCTGACGTAAGGGCTCTTCATAAGTGCCCCCAAATTATCTACATGCTCCCCCTCTGAGATTCTGCGTGCTTGTCTACTTTTGGGGGCAAACAGGGCAGAACTTGAGTCATGAGTGTCTGTAAAAGAAACTGTGCCCATCTTCTCTTGCTGACACTTTTATCTGGTGCCTCTTTCTCAGCAAAAGGGGCCACCCATTTACATCCTGAATAGTCTCAGACTAGTCCTCAGAATTTGAACTGACAGCACACACACAAAAGGAGGAAACACTTTCTGCTTTTAATGAAGAGAAACCTTCACTGTCTTCTTTTCTGGAAACCTGGTATTTCAGAAGACAAAGCAAAATTAACTTTGATGTGTATCTCTATTTTGTTTTTGCTGGGAGGAGTTTATTCATGCTGAGAGCTGCTTTTTTTTTTTTTAACTTTATACAGTCTAAGGGTGTCCAGCTAAAGGAAATAGATTCAGTTTTCATTTAATACACAAAAGACCCTGAAAGCAAAGCACTTATCTCCATTTAGTCTCTAGTTAGCAGACAGTTGCCTAACTTAGAGTACCAACATTCATCGGAAGGAGTTCAAGTTCAACCCAGTCAGTACCATCCACCTTTTCTTCCATTTTCTGCTTTGGTCCAATGCTATTGTCTGGATATTCACACGTCTTTAATGTGACAGTCTTCGTTAAACTCTTCCTATGAGACAAGATTTTCCTACTTCATTTTCACATTCTTCTTCCCCCTGTTGGATCCAAAATCATTTTGTACTTATGACCCTGTTTGTTCCTCTTTTCATACTGGTTTTCTACATTCATCCTGATTTTGCTTCCCTTCTTTCTTATTATGATTGGTTCGGAGGTGAGTGTGGCAAGGGTTATCCTTCAATTCCTCTTACTTCTAGGCTGATGTTCAGCTTCTGAGGAATCTGAGACCCAAAATCTCAGTTTCTGAAATGGCCTAACATGCTGATGGGTGAGTAAGACCAATCAGGCACAGAAAATATGATGTGGGAGATAATTGTTGTCGTACCACTGTGTCTGGCAGTACATGTTCAGAAATCTTTATTCTTAAAGGTGACATCATCACCAAACCTAGGGTCTGAGAGGTGGAAAGAGACCTGGGACAACTATCACCTAGGGCAGGCATCTCCTCCATTTATGTCCTACAAATGACAATACTCCATGTCTTTTTGATTGTAGGTTTTCAGTAACTCACAGAGGGGGCAATTTTGATTTCCAAAAATTCAGTTTTATTTAAACCAAGTCTGATGTTCAATTACATTGAGCCATGCAACTTTTACCTCACAACTGTTCTGCAAATACAAATCATCTTTCTTTTGCACACAGCATATTTTTGCATGTTAAAATTAATGTAATCCCTACCTCCAGTCTTTATGATCTCTAGACCATAACTCCTCTCTTCAAACCTAACACCTCCAACATTATCACTCCTACCACCCTATCTTCTTTTCTCATCCCAGAACTATCTCTGGTTTGTCAACATTACTGAAAATTAAATCAGTTAATTAATTAGCTATGTTTTTTTGTTGCTGTGGTAAAGAATCCTGGAATGAGCAAATTAAGGAAGGGATAATGTACTTTGGCTCACAGTTTGGGTGTAGAGTCAATGATTCTGGGGAAATGTTGACAGCAGGAATTTAACATAGCTGGTAATATTATGTCTGTAGTCAGGAAGTAGAGAGCAATGGATGTTAGTGTTCAGTACAATTTCTCCTTTGTATTCCATCCAGGATAGAAGTCCATAGAGTGTTGTAGCCCACAGTGGCCAAATCTTTCTGCCTCAGCTAGCTCATTCTAGATAATACATCTCATGTATGCCTAGGGGCTAACCTAATCTAGATAATCCATCTCACGTATGCCTAGAGGCTAATCTAATCTAGATAATTCATCTCACGTATGCCTAGAGGCTGACCTAATCTAGATAATCCATTGCAGGCATGCCTAAAGGCTGACCTAATCTAGATAATCCAACTCAGGCATGCCTAGAGGCTGATCTAATCTAGATAATCCATCTCACATATGCCTAGAGATTAACCTAATCTAGATAGTCTATCTCACGTATGCCTAAAGGCTAACCTAATCTAGATAATTCATCTCACGTATGCCCAGAGGCTGATCTAATCTAGAAAATTCCTTATTGGAATCTCCAAAGGCTTGTACACCAGATGAATCTAGATCTCATCAAATTGACAATACTATGGTAAATATTAAATGTGCTACAAAGTAACTACTCAATAAATAATTAATGTAGCTAGTAGACTGACAAAAGCAGACCATTTTAGAAATAGCTGGAGTATTGCAAAAGCAAATAAATGAACCATTTATACTCTGGTATGATGTGTTTCAGTCTTTTGAAATGCATACAGCACAGGACCTCTTTGAGTCCCTTTGCCTAGTGAGTGGAATGGGAGCTTACAGGAAGTCAAAGACCTTAGGACTTTTAGTGGTGATATATAAACGGCAACTGTAATTTTGTTTTCTGGACACCCAGACCCAAATATCCCATAAAACTATGTTAACTATAGCACTGTTTGGCCAATGACTCAGGCATATTCCTAGCTAGCTCGTACATCTAAAATTAACCCATTTATATTAATCTGTGTATTATCACAAGGTTAGGTTACCTTACTGGTAAGGTTCTGGTATCATTTTCCTCGGCAACTATATAGCATCTTTCTGACTCCACCTTCTTTCCCCCTGCACTCATTTAGTTTTGCTGCCTAAACCAATTCTGCCATACCATAGGCCAAAGCTGCTTCTTTATTAACCAATGGTTTATAGCACACAAAGGGGAATCCCATATCATCTTCCCTTTTCTGTGTAAATAAAAAGGAAGGTTTAAAATTTAACATAGTATAATTACACATAATAAAACAGGTATCAAGCAAGAATTACAGTTACAATATTTTTTGTGAGTCTACTGTTTTATATTTAATTTATCTTTTATCATAACTAAGGAAAACTATAACTATAACTATCTGTCTTCAACTCCATCGAAGATCCCAGAAAGATATACTATTACCTAAGTAAATAGAAAATGCATTGTAAGCAACTTCAAAACTCTAGAACTGACAAAGACATCTTGCTACCTGGACAGATACCCAAAGTTCTTCTGCAATGTTGCGAGCATCCATCTTCAGCCTACAGGCCCATAGTTTCTAGCAGACTTTTCTCCATGAAGCAAGAACTTTGAAAGACTGCTTTGCATCTATTGGCAGTTTGTCATTCACTTTCTTCTGTGTCCTGATAATGTCATTCAGACTCTTTCATGAAGCAGAAATCCTGAAAGACTATCTCACATTCTTTAGGCAAGTTCAGCAGTCATTTTTCTGTGGGTCCTGAATGTCCAGCTCATACAGCATATTAAGCAGTTCAGGCAAGAGCAGTTTCTTGCACAAATGACTAACAAACTCTATAGAGAGCTTCTTTGATTCCCATCATCCTCTTGAAATAATTGGTGCTGCCAGAAGCAGACATGTTTCACTGTCTAGAAAAGTCTAAGTTCTTGAAACCTTTCAAATGTCATATTCTGTTGGTCTTTGAAGTGTTGAAAACTATCTGTCTAACTGAAATGTATATCTGTTTATCTAGAAGACCTAACTAATATGACTACAAGTTTGAATATTATAGATGACTATCTATTAATCCATAATTTTAAATTATATGTTGCATTTTAAATGAGCTGTATAAACATAATTCCTTAAATAAGAGTAGAAATATACATATAACAAAATTGACCTTTAATTTGTATCAATAAACCAAAGTCCATACTAACGTTAAATATTCATCTTGTGATCTTTTTTCTACAATGGACGATGAAACTTTAAAAAGTAAATGTCTGACTTAACATACATCCAAAGCTTGTATGGACACGGTTACAAATTTAGTAAAAGAAAGATGTGAGTTGAGTAGTTGATATGTATCCTACATATGTGTATGATCTTTGTAATGTATCTTAATTATTCCTTTTTATCATCTGTAAGTGAAACATGAAGTGATAAGTCAAGCTGTACAATCAAATAAAATACGTAAAATAATTTTCAAATGCTGATATAACACCTATGAGTTTTTATATCAACAGTTTTGAGAGTGCTACCTGTCATTGTGCCCCATATTTTGAGTTTCAAATATCAAATCTATCATTGAGTAGATGAAGATCTTCATTCAACTGGAAAGCCCTAAGAATGTCCCTTATTGGCCACCATAGTTACGGTCTTACCTACTTTAAGGCCAGTGCTGGATATTCAAACCTTGCTATGCCTATTACTGTAATTGAAAGCTACCAACAACTATTGAGTTTTTAATACTGTTTGAATTATACCTAAATATCTAAATAGTCGTGTGTGATAAATTTGATCTTCTACAACAGATATTAGTATTGGTATTGTTGAAAATACGCTTATAAATAAAATACATAAGAAAAATCTATGCATATATAGTTTTTATTTACTCAGTCATTCAATAAATATTTATGTGGTGAAGCCTGCCAGACACTTGGAAAACATTAATAAATAAAACTTGGGGAAAATTTTATCAATAAAAATAGAGAAAAATTACCTATTTTTTAGGGGAATGGAGAGAGTAAATAATATATTTGATGAATAGACGAGTTGAATAGTTTGCTAGAAATGTAATTGATAGGGCCTTAATGTTTAATGTGCTTGTTATGTAAACTCAAAGATATAAGTTTGGAGCCCAGCACCCACACAAAAAGCCAGATGCAGCAGCATAAGCCTATAATGTCAACTCCAGGGAGGTAGGAGATAGGAGGTGCATGGTGGTAAGCCAATCTACACAATTTTTGAGCCAAAAATTCAGTGAGAGAACCTGTCTCAGAAAATAAGGTAGAGAGTGATAAATATACAGATACCTTCTTCTTGACTCCACATATGCAGG